GTATACTTCTTATTGGGTAGTAGATTAGAGACTACTCAGCTGCAGAGGATGTTAATCATTGAGTAATTTTGACCTAAGTTCAATGTAATAGTGAAACAATGTCGAGTTAATTTGTGACTAGAGTTTGACAAGGTTTATGATTATCGTACCTATATATACGCGTATAATTGTAAAGCTGTCACCGCACACAGAGCTGCAATGAGAGCTCTACTCTGCGCTGCTTTCAGAGCTGCACTACTCAATTATATTAAAATTCTAATTACGCTCGCGCTACGAATGCCTCAGTTAAGCCAGGCAAAGCCGAGGGGCTGAGTGAAAGGGAACGAGTGAATGAGTAATACGAGGAGAGGGACAAGCAGAACCATACTCCTATAATATATGTACGGTTGCTCTTGAAGTAAACTTCTGATCTTGATGCTGGCAGTTGGACAGAAAGAGTTGAGTTTTGATAAAAAAGAGTAGACGAAATACAAAAGACTATAAAGCTAATAATAATAAAGCCATAAAAATGAAAACAGATGAGGCTAAGGTAATGAAATACGGATAGTAAAATTGAGCGAAATGTGAATACATTTATGTGTTTATTTATATTTTCTTATTTATATTTATATTATTTTTATTTATATGTACATATATTATTATCATTTAATTTGTATTTATATATTCTTTAAATATTATTTATATATATATATATATATATATATATATATATATATATATATATTATTATATTTTTTTTTCTTGAAATTTCATAAATAATTAAAACAAGCAATGAAAAAAAAAATGAACACAAGTATATACAAATATTTGCACGATTTTTACTTTTAAAATATCTTATTTATCTCATTGTCAATTTTTACTGAACTAAACATTTATTTATTTTCCATTATATATAGAATTTATATATATACAATAGACATATATATATTTAATATGCCATAATTCTATGTATAAAAAAAAATATATATAAATATTCAATTCAGTGACAATTGATTAAGGCATCAGCATCATGAAAATATAGTTTCAACATTTATTTAAAAATATTTTTTTTTTTACTGCAAGTGTCAATTGCCCTGAACTGCCATCGCTTGACATATTAAATAAAATTGCAGCTGACAATTAAAAATATTGCAACTTTACAAATTTCGATGCTAACAATTTGAGTTGTTTTATTACACTTGAATATACATATATCGTGTAAATGTTAAGCCCATTGGCTATTTAACTTTATGCTGGACTCATATATGGATAATATTTTGTTCAAATTGAATTTGTGTCTGTGGCAAAAGAAAGCAGCAAATGATGGCCATCAGGCTTGTTGGCTGTGGCCAGAAAAGTCCACTTTTGGCCAGGTTATTAAAAGCATTATGAATAAAAAGCCAGCTAAGCTTTAGTACTTTGCCCAATATGAGAGTACACAAACGAATGTCTATATGTATGTGTATGTGTGTATATATATTTATTAAATGGTCAGATGTATATATATGTATATATATTTGTATGTATGTTTAGTATAAGTCGGCTGTTACTTTGTGGATCTGTTGCAGCTGCTGCGGGTCTGCGTTTGCTAATTGAATTGGCTGCTGCTGCCTGCTGCTGTTGGACATTTGTACACCTGTCGCACACACACACACACACACACACACACACACACACCGACATTAATAATACACATATATATATAAATACATATACATAAGTATTTACACGCACGTGCGCACAACAACTATTACACCAGCCGGCATACGCCAGCATGCCACGCCCACTTGTCGCACACCCACACAAACAGACTCATACACAGATACCCACACACAAATTGAATGCCCGAATCAGCATTCCCCACGGCGCGCGTGCACCTTAATACGCATTCATGCGTACAAAGAGGCGTATGAGTGCTGCTGCGATATTTACCAGATATCTGCTCTTATCTGCCTCAATGATGACTATGACAAGGACACCATTTTCAGTTTCATTTTGGGTTCACTCATTCGCCCCCCAGTCTCACTCTCTCTCTCTCTCTCTCTCTCTGTCTCTTTCCATCGCTGTCTTTGTAGGCGTTTAATTAAATGAAGTCGTTTGCATTAATGTCGTCATTACGCATTTGCCTACAGCAGCGCAGCAGCGCAGCAGCTCGGGCAAGTGTCGAGTGGCAAAAGGAGCTGCGCTCTTGTCGCCGCACAAAACTCTGAGTGCTTGAGACGCTGCTGTCGCACAAAATTCATTACACAAATGGAGCGCAGGTGGCGTCTATTGTCCATGTTTCATGACATATGCGCAACGGCTGGCAACGCCTCCAATAGACCAAATTTGTATTTATCAGCTCAGCACTCGTCGAGTTCAGTTCATTCGCATTCGATATGACAATGACAATTTCCAGCTTAATGCTGATTGCAATCATTACGTAATTGCATTTAGACTAAATCTATCTATAGCTGTGAATTACGTACGCTTAAGATATTGTATCTGCGAAGTGTGTGAGGGCGATGGCTTAGTGAAGTGAGCAGCTGAATATGTGCTAAGAAATGAGCATGAATATTGTATTCATTTTTGTATATAATGAGAGATGAATTAATTTGAGTGTTTTCATGATTATGAAGTTAAATAGAGTAAATATGTATAAAATATAATTAATATAAAATTTGTAAATAAATGTATTTCTTGACTTCATTCATAGGAACTGTGCTGATTCCTTTTTATCTCCAGCTTAGACTGGTTAGATTTACATATAATCGCTTTATCATGATGATAAACTCTGTAGCTTGTTATAAAAAAAATTATTATTAAATTATATTATTATTATCATTATTTTGTTATGTGTATAACAATGAGTTTATTCACTTATAATTTTATTAACAATTAATTTAAAAAGCGCTTTAAAAATGAATTTATTAATACATACTCTTAATATATAAATTTGTAATAATATATATACTACTCTGCCTTAATCTATGACAAATATAATTTACACTGAAAGTAGAAACTCCTAGTGCTGCTCTCTTACAGATTAATTCCTATATACACACATATAGACAGCTCAGTTCATTATACCAATACTAGCTCAAACGAGTTTCAATGTCTCTGAAAATTTCTTTGCTGCTTAAAGAAGGAACAAAAAGTGGATGGGCTGAGTAAACGATGTCGACTCTCTGCTGCTGTATATAAAGTCAGCTTACGCTCTGCTCTGGCAGTTCAGTTCGGTGTCAGTTATGTGTGTGTGTGTGTTTTGGCTGCCCTGGCAGAACTCAACGGCTATTTGACAGCTCCAATGCGTCTGCCTATCATCAGCAGCTCTCGATCGAGTAGCTTTGTGTCTTGTGGAGGCTCGGCTGTTGTCTTTAGCACACGCTGATTGTTTGCCAGCCAGACGCACGCATATTGGGACACAAATCAAATCAAACACGGCTCTAGCTCCAGCTGAAGCTGAAGCTGATGCTGTTGTAGTTGTAGCAATAGCGGGCCATCAAGTGGGTTCGAGTGGGCGCCAGTTGGCTTGGGTGGTTACATCCACCTGTCGACTGCCAGCTGCCAGCAGCCACCTGCCAACGGTCAGCCTGGTGCCTGACTACCTGGCTGCCAGCTACTACTTGTCTCGATTGGTTTTTCAGTCAACTCTGCTGCTGTTGCTAGGTCAACATGGACTGCAAAATGTTTCGAACTGGTGACCAGCCAAATGACCGACTGTCGACTGGAAAGCCGTGCTCTTAATTACCACAAACTCGAGCCGCGTTCATGCCTCGCCTGCGAGGCATTTTAATTGCCCCGAAAAAAAAAAAGAAACAGAAAAACGAAGCAGCGCAATAAAGAACTTAAATTTGGATTTGGCAGCCGCTGATTGCGATGGACCGACGATGGCCTTAACTTACTTCGAGAGCCACTTGAACTTAACGCAAATTGAAGTGGGCCCGGCAGTAACTCGAGCTGATTAGGCACGGAGGCAATGGATGCCACCATAGGCGCATCTAATAGTTGTTCAGCTAAGCAGAAGATACTTTGGGCAACGTAAGCTATAGATATCTTATATATCTTAGATACCTTAACAATAAATTGATTGAAGTGCTACTACAGCTCTGCTATACAAATAATACACAGCTAACACACACACACGCAGTTTCATACCACTTAAACAATAAAAATTGATTCAAGTACTGTATGTAAATCTTCTTGTTATTCAAGTGTTTGCTAAGAGCTTGATTTGCATGCCGGCTTACAGCACTGGAGATGTGCAGGCGAGTCTAGGCAGGCGCATTTAATCAGCATGCGTAATAGTGGCAATACACTGATTCATAATTCAAGAGCAATTATAGTTGTTATCGCAAATGTATTCTAATTGAAGACTTAGCTGGGCACTGATTGGTCTGACATGCCTCAAAGATAGGCTAGAAGTTTGATGAATTCTTATGTCCTGAAGCGTGCAGGAAATACTTTGATGTATGAAGCTTTCAAGATCTGCTCTATAATTTGAGCTATTAAACTCTTGAATCTGGGCTTGCCTGGGAATAAACTAGAATAAGGACTTGGTAAAAGGTGTATAAGCTCAAAGCCTATTCAAAGTTCACTCTGGGAATTCGTTTCATTCTTCAGTTCATAGCCTTGCCCAAGCCTCTAATCTAATAGTCAAAAAAAGTGTATATCTTGAGATCTAACTGATTTTAGTGATCAAAGTTTATATCATGTCACTATAGGTTTTCTTCAAATAGTGAAATATGATTTCTCCCTTAGCCTAGTCTCAGAGTGCCTTGGTCTAAGGCTCTGCGAATCATAGTTTTCCCTTTAGTCTAGGCGTACTGTACGATTCGCCGTAATACCTAAAGACTCAGCTCTGTTTGCACAGTTAAATGCTCAAAATTTACCCCTAGGGTTCAAGGTTTTCACTGGCGTTTGCATTAACTTTAGGGCTCGAACCTTGTCGAGGCCATGATTATGCGTCCATTCAACTTGAACCTTTGCCATGCCAGCTGCAAGCCTGACCCCAGGGTCTGCCCTTTTTTTTGTACAATCCAATACTTGTCAATGAGTATATTTACGTCTCAGCGCAATGCCTGAGAGCCACAGGAGTAGAATATAAGTGGTATGATTTGCAGTTGGCCTAGATGACGCGTTGTGTAGCGTATCGTTGATAAAGTCAATGTGATACCAAACATCCGTGTAGAGCGATGGCACTGCCCTTGCGCCGCAGCCCAGACGCTGCGATACGATGCCCACCAATGTATTGTTAGCCATCAGTGGTGCGCCCGTATCGCCCGCACATGGACTCTCGTCGGCGCCCAGTTCGAATCTGCCAGCGCAGATTGTCTCGGGATGCACAATTTCGAGTAATTTCTCACACGCCTCATGATCCAGTAGCGTAACAGATATATGCAGTAAATTACCAGATAATGGACCACCCTGTGAAGTGTGGTGCAGTTACAGTTTTCTAGTGGCTCAGTGGTTCAGTGGTTTCTCTTACCTTATACATGCGACCCCAGCCAAAGACCATATGCTCAACACTATAATTGGGAGCTGATTGGGGCAGTTGTACGATATCGATGTTGGGATTATCGGTTGGCCATGATTTCGTCAGCTTCAAAAGCGCAATATTATGCTTGAAATTCTCTGTGAAATTTTTAGATACGGTAATTTCTTGAACGTTCCTCACGACTGTATGGGCGACACGAATCAGACGATTTGGCGTACCGCCGACTACGACAATAGCTCGGAGCTGGTGCGGTACCATAAAAGTGCTATGAATACAGATGCAGAGATGAGCAGATGTATCTCGCTGAGATATACTATATACACCTCACCTCATTGTACAGGTAGCAGCGGTTAGGACGTACCGCGGTGCTATTATAGTGCCAACGCAGAAATGATTGTCCCCGAATCGAATCTGTGGCGTACGCGAACGTATGGAGACAACATATTTGGCCGCGGCATGTGTCCGATTGTCCAAGACGGGTGAAGTCAGGCGTTTCGTACGCTTCAATATTTTGCTTTCGGCGCGCAAATTCGTTTCCAATCGCACAAAGAGCAGCAACAGCAGGAGCTTACAAAATATAACCGAACAATTGCAGTTGCGCATTTAAGTGTGTTGAGACGTTGCCCGCAAACATGATCTGTCGCATCGAGTACAGGCGATCGCGGGTGTGTGTCTGTAGGGAAAAGAGGGGTGGGCGTAATTTTTTTTGTGTTTTTTTTTTCTTTTTTAAGTTTGACAATAAAAACAAGTATGTGTGCTCGAAGAGATGCCCAGACAAATGGCAACAAACAGCTCATACTCCAATCTATACGATTATGCCTATGTTATTCTTGGAAACGGGGGAGGGTCGGAGGTAGCTATACGAAATATAAAGTATGTAACGCCCTGTGTTCCATACAGGCTAATTGCATACCCTCATCTGTTGTGAAATTCGATCTACGTTTAAAAAATGTAGAAACATTTTTATCGTTAAGAAAATAGGATGAGTTATGAGTTACAATGGGTTCAGTTTATCAGACAAGAGTTGTGAAAGAAACAACAGCAAACAAATGTGCCCAAGAGATTTGATAGATATAGACAGTGCTTATAAAATTGAACATACAGTATATTTACAGTGACTACATAAATTTAAAATACTAACACAGACACAGACAGTGAAAGCAGGACGATATTTGGAATGCATTGCCAGGATGCAGAATTTATTATACTGTTGATCCAGTCTTTATGATAATAGACATTCGTATAGACCGATGGTAGTGTGGGTCTGGTACAGCCCAAACGATAGCTGGCAATACCATAGACGACATTATTTCGTATCAGTGGGGCACCTTCGTCACCCTGACAGGGACTCTGATGGATGGCGGGGTCCTCATTCATGCCGCATAGCATTTCCTCCTTGAAGGTTCTAAGCATCGATTTGCAGGTGGACGTATCAAGTATGGTCACATTGATTTGCAAAATAATCGATGATAATGGTCCACCCTAATAGTTAGTATCGTAAAATAGATAACGATAATCGATTGCTAGGCTCCGCTCCGCTCACCTTATACATACGACCCCAGCCCAATACATAATAGCTTGCGTTGACAGTGGGATTCTTTCTGGGCATCGATATAATGGCAACGCCTGGATTTGTCGTGGGCCATGCTTCGGTTAATTTAAGCAGGGCAATATTGTTCGTGTTTTGGCTGGTGAAATTGATTGGTACATATATCTGTTTAACTGGCAAATTCACAGATTTGTTGTCGATGAACTTCAGACGGTTTGGTGCGCCGGCTACCACCATGATCGTACGACTTGGATATTTAAATTTGCTCTTACTACATGGGTACATGCAAAGATAGGAGAGAATATGTATATGAAGTCAATGCTTAATGCCAATCAATGCAATATGGTTTATTCAGTATCTACCCACTCCATGACGCAATGTGCAGCTGTCAAGACGAATCTGGGTGCAACTATCGCACCGCCACAATAATGATTATCGCCATAATATTTTTCCGGTATCCGTGAACGTATCGATATCACATATTTGGCCATCTGTAGTGTTTGATTCTTAAAGAAGTCAGGCGTTGATAGCCGTTTAACTCGATTTTCAGATAATATGGGATCCAAAAGTATTAATAGCAATAGTATCGTCTCTTTCACTGAACAATTTCGGCCGTTCATGTCCAGCTCCAACAGAAAATTTTGAATAAATTTCTTTCGGAATTTATCTGTTGACCACTGTTCCCATCCTTCTGCATTGCAAACTAATACAATTATTAGCACTTATTAATGCTATTCTCAATATTAATATGATTTGTATTGAATTTATAATACAGTTAGAACAAAAAACAAGTGTCTACTGTCAACTATTTCAAATGTATTTTGTGGAATATTTCGATTTTTTTAATGTCGTATTTTACACTACAAAAATATAAATATATGGAAGCATCATAATCAAGCGATGAGTGCTCGACTAGGATAAACACCCAGACAGAGCTGTTGCTCTCAGCATTCTTGTCTTATTGTCTATTGACTTGGCAATTTCCATTGGAAATCCATGGCATATATTGTGGCATATTCAATTAAAATCGATAACGATATGGTATAAATTATCGATAGCAGAATAAAGGACTTATATTGCGTATCCATATTGATGCATTCAAGTAAGGATCTATTCATGGATATATTCATGTAAATGTATATGTATTGAAAATATCAAATCTTTAGTCTTGTAGCTGAGCCTAAACGGTCAGGGTAGACGAGCAAAGGGAAAGACATGGATGGAGCGAGAGAGAGAGAGAGACAAGTATACTAATATGTATAGAGAGAGGAAGGCAAACACACTTATGGTCATACTTATATATTGGTTTTGGCTCTCTACCTAGCTCTTAACCATTACCTGTTATATAAATACGCACAACCAGTATGCCCGTAATGCCCATTTTCGATTGAAATCAATTTGATGGAGCTTCCTTCCCACTTAACGCAGCTTAAACTTGTTGCTATAAACAAATGCCAAATGGAGTTTGATTATTTGATGAACGTCGTTTCTATTTTTGATAGCATTTGGCATATGCCGCTCGGCTTGGCCAGTTGTCTATCAAGTGTTGGCCAAAACATACTTTTGCTGTAGTTAACGAGCAGTGTGAAGTCCTTTTCGTTCGTTTGTTGTTGTTTTTTTTTTTTATTGTGGCATTTGAAGTTGTTCGAGCGAGCAACCCGGCTCAATGTCAATTCACTTGACAGCTGTAACGGCTAAGCACTTGACTATTGTAATTTCAAATGTGTCAGAGAGCAGCAGCGGTCGGCAGTGGAGCAGGAGTAGGGATTGATGGTGGTGTTGATGTTGGTGTTGGAGGTGGTGCTGGTGGTGGTGGTGGTGTAGCTGACTGCTGAAGCTTTTATTGCTCGACTTCCCTTTGCTGCAGTCACAAACTCTTTCAGCTGTGTGTGTGTGTGTGTGTACGTGTGTGTGTGTTAGTATGCGTGAGCGCTCTCAAGTATGTTTTAAGCAAAGTTTGCGCATAAACTTTTTACCAAAAGTATTTGTGGCTCAAATATTTTCATTTGCCTGTGGCAGCTGCACCAAATAATTGCGGCTCTCACCCCGCTTACTCTCTCTGTCTGTCTCTCTGTCTCTTTCTGGCCTACGGCCACATCGTGACTGGCCGCTTCGCTGATTTGTGGCAAGCAAATTTATTGACAATTCATGGCGCCAGCATCAGCACCACCACCACCATCTAGAACCACTCAACAGCCACAAAAGCTGTTCAAGCGTTTTCTATTTTTTGCTTTCCTTTTTTATTTTTCATATACTTTTTGCTGTGTTGAACTTTGGCGCAAGTTTGTCGCAAGTTGCGCTTTCCGTCTGGCTGGGGCTGCGGCTGGGGCTGCGGCTGGGGCTGCGGCTGGGGCTGCGGCTGGGGCTGGGGCTGGGGCGCATGACAAACTGCCTGACCATTTAAGTCGTAGATTTTTCATTTTTCATCTTTAGCGGCGCCTCGAACTTGCGCTCGAATCTCTGCGCCCAGCAGCTGGCCAAAAAGACAACAAAGTTTAAATTAATGGCACTCAACTATTAGTAAAAATTAAAAAGCCAAGGCGTTTGCCTAGAGAGAGAGAGAGAGACAGAGAAAGATATACTGATGTGTAGAGTGAGCAAACTTGTGCTGGGCGTGGCTGTAACGCCCATTGTTTTTGAGGCAAGAAAGCGGCAGCAAACTGTGCGCCAATTAGCGCTGACAGCGCTTTAAGTCAAGCAACAGGCCAAGGCGGGCCAAAGTGTGTGAGAGCGAGAGAGAGCGCAACAGTGAGCATGTGTGTGTGTGCGTGTGTGCAATAAAACTTTTGTCTACATGACATGGAAATGCACTTGCACTTGGCCAAACAAAAAGATGGCCAAGCAAATATGATTGCAGCTGTAACGGCTGCAACAGCTGCTGCTCTTAACTTGGCCAGCAGGTTGTGGCTTAAAGTGTCAGCAGCTGCACACATTTATAATAAATGTATGCAATAGTGTTAATAAATTAATTGCACTGATTTGTATATGAGAAATGTGACAGTGTATATGTGAATGTGTGTGTGCGTGTGTGTGTGTGTGTATAAATTAATTTGAATTCATTGCGCAAGTCGAGCAGCTGTAAGTGCAAATACATGTCGCTCATACGCCGCCTTTGCTGCCACAAAATTAATTAAACAATTTTGCATTGTGCGTGGGTTCATTAAGGGGTCTGTGGAGGGGCGGGCGGCGAAGCTCCAGTTACTTGCGCGTCCTGCGGGTCAACTGTAAGTTTAGCCTGATGCATTGCTTTGCGCACGCTAATTGAATTAAAGACGTTCTTTCAGGGCAGCAATAATTAAAAGCGGTTGACCAATAATCAATTGGCAGCACAGCTGGAGACAGGTACAACAGCAACAGCTGACAGTTGACAAAGCAACAGCAGCAACAACAGCAGCAACAACAACAGCAATAGCAGTTAAAGGCCAGCAGCCAGGCAGCTCGGATGTGTTGTCCGCATTCGAGTAATAGAAATAAATTGGCGCCGCATGCAGCTTTGGGTTTAGCTTCAGCTTCATGGCGATTGTCTTGCCACGGCAGTCAAGTGGCACTCGTGCTTGCGTGTGTTAGTGTCTCTGTGTGTGTGTGTGTGTTGGCTCATGAATTGCCAAGTGCGCCCAGTTGCCAGGCAGCTGCTTAAAGCTAATGAAACGTTCGCTTGCGTGTGTGTGTGTGTGCGTATACTTTGCTCGCATCCCTTTATGTATTTGGGTATCTAATTTTTATTTTGTTATTCTCTCGACTCTTCGTTTCATTTCGTTTCGGCTCTGTTGCATGCCCCATAAAGGCGCACGTAATTAAATCTAACTTTATTAGCACATTTGTTCAAGTGCTTGAAGGTGTTGCGTTTCCATGCATGCGGCCAAAAGGCGAAAAACTAAACTAAATGGGAACACAACAAATGCCTTTATACCTGTCCAGGTGTGTGTGTGTGTTGGTGTGTTTAATTAAGTATATTTGAGTAGAGTAATTAGGGTTATTTTTATACAATTATTGTTGTTTGCAAAATGAAGAAAAATTAGGAATTCTAGAAATTTCCCATAGAAATTTAAATTAAATTTTTATAGCAAATTTTCAGTTAGAGGCAAATATATAAAATTTAAATATTTTTATATATAAAAAAAAAGTGTATACAAAAATTTATAGTATAAAGAAAAGAAATTTAAACATGTATTTATATTATAGATATATATTATATTTCTCATAAAAATATTTAAATATTAAAAACAGATTTCCATTTCTCTTCAAATTAAAAAATTTATAAATACAGCAATTTATTCGCATTATTTGTTTATGAAATTTGAGCTATTGTTAGATATAAATTTTAGATTTTACATTTATAGAATAAATCAATTTAAAACTCGCAATTTCAACAAATTAAAAGAATTTTAAACTTAATTTATCAAGTTCAACTATTTTATTAATTTGCAATAGTTTAAATGATATCGAAATGTACATATTAATTACCACAAATCCACTCTGCAAAATTCGACAATTATTTTACACTTTAATCCATTGAACTGTTAAGCAAACCCACAATTCACAGCATGTTTAATTTTACTAAAAAAAAAAAACAAGAATAAAGAAACAAAGCAAATTCCTTCCAAAACTGAAACTGAAATACAATTAGTTTTAGCTTTATTCGAGTCATGTATTTATATATACATACATATATACATAAACATATGTTGTTCGACTCTTGTTGTTGCTGTTAATTGTTGCTGAATGTTGTTGTTAATTGCAGTTGTTGTTAAAGGCCCAACCACCTGTAGCCACCAAACCACCAACCAACCAATCAACCAACCAATCAACCAACCAACCACTACACCACCCACTCTCTATATATCTCTGTCTGTTTCTTTGTTAATCCATCTGTGTCTCTCTTTCTCTCTCTCTCTCTCTCTCTCTCTCTCTGTTTCTCCATAAATGTGTTTCCCCACCAAGCACACACAAAAATAAAAAAAAAAAATGTTTATTATGGACAATATGCAATTAATATAACTTTCTGTACACATTTCTCTTGTTTTTCACAAAAAATAATAAAAATATAAACAAATTAAAATTCGTATATATGCAAAAAAAATAATATATACAAAAAAAACTAAATAAATATAAAAATACATACACACAACTTGCATATGCAGCTGAGCAGCCGAACAAGGCCACGCCCACTGGCCGCCTTTGCCGTACTGCGGCCATTGATGGCGGTGACGCAGACGCCGACACGATTGCTGGCTATGACGTCAAAGCCACTAAAGCAAATGATGCCAGAGATGACGATGATGATGATGATGATGACGCTGCAGCTGAACGATGGCGGCCAAGTGTGCTAAATGCAACAACTGTCGCACTGCCAGATAGCAAACAAAACCAAACAACAACAGCAAAGCATCAAAACAACATAAAATATACAACAACAGCAACAACAACAACAGCAACAGCAACAATATCAACAACCAGAGCAACGAGTCTTGAGAAGGCGCCACGCGCTAGCTTTTTGAACATAATGCAGCCACGGCTATCATTGAACGGCATGCTGAATCCACCATATCCATCGCTGATGCCATCACCGCGTCCTCTGTACCGTGATCATAGCTCCAGGTCCATCAATCCGCTGACTGCCTACGAGCAGCAAATGGCGGAGCTCGATGGCAGTTTCTATGGCAGCAATGCGGGCTATTTGGGCGGCAGTGCCGGTGGTGGCACCACCTGCACCAATCTGACTGCGGCTGGTGCTAATACAGGCGGTGGCGGTGGTGTTGGAGGTGCTGGTAGTGGTGGTGGTGGTATAGGTGCTGGTGCCAGTGGCACACAAAGTAATAGTGGTGGTGGTGTTGGTGGTGGTGGTGCCTTTCATACAACTGAACTTTCAATAACACCAACAATGGCAGCCGATGAGCAGTTCATTGATTTGGGTAGCCTGCGTCGCTTCTCAATCGATCGACAGAGCTTTCTGGGTAAGGCTGAAACACCGTCTGTATGTGTGTGCATAAACCCGCTCTCAAACCTTTGTCCTCTCACTTTATATCTACCATTTAATTTCAATCTCTCTCTCTCTCTCTCTCTCGCCTTGCAGATCTAGGCCCCAAGTTTGGCATGTCCCAGCCGAAATTCGGTCAGAGCGTCTCGCAACAAGGTTTCTTTACGTCGCATGACAGCCTGGCCACACCATGTGCATCCCGAGCATCGAACTCGCATATGGCCAACGTAAGCACTGCCTCCGAAATGGATTTATTGCACAACAACAAGCAACGCCCCAACAACAACAAGTCGCGCGGACGTCTGAAAACAATTGGCGGCGATCAGCCACTGCTGGGCACCTGGAATCGATCCACAGGCCGCGGCTCGCAGGATAACACGCTAGGTGGCGTCGGTGCTGGCGGCGCGTCTGCCGGCGGTGGTGCCACCAACATGCTCATGGGCCACACACAATATGGCGGCAACTACTGCAATGGCACAGATCGGTAAGTAACGGCATCTGCGTCTGCTCGAAGTTGATATTAGTGAGTGTGTGTGTGTGTGTGTGCTTCTCTCGTATTTACAGCTACCCGCGCTCACGCTCGCAACAGCACCACAATGCCGGTCAAGCAACGCACCACCCATACCAGCTGCAGCACTCGGCTTCCACGGTATCGCACCACCCGCATGCGCACGGCCAATCCGCACAAGGCGGGCCCGGTCCACCTCACGGCGGCCATCCACACCATCAGTCACATGGTGGCATTGGTGGTGGTGCTGGTGCTGCTGGCGGTGCTGGCGGCGGCCACTCAACCCAGCCGCACCACCAGAAACCGCATCGTACTGCCTCGCAGCGCATTCGCGCCGCCACAGCTGCCCGCAAGCTGCACTTCGTGTTCGATCCGGCGGGGCGGCTCTGCTACTATTGGTCCATGGTGGTGTCCATGGCCTTTTTGTACAACTTTTGGGTGATAATCTACCGCTTCGCCTTTCAGGAGATCAATCGACGCACCATTGCCGTTTGGTTCTGCTTGGACTATCTGTCCGATTTTCTCTATCTCATTGACATATTCTTTCACTTTCGCACCGGCTATCTGGAGGATGGGGTCCTTCAAACGGATGCACTCAAGCTGCGCACTCACTACATGAACTCGACGATCTTTTACATCGATTGCCTGTGCCTGCTGCCGTTAGACTTTTTGTATTTATCGATTGGCTTCAATTCGATACTGCGCAGCTTTCGTCTGGTGAAGATTTATCGATTTTGGGCCTTCATGGATCGCACCGAACGGCACACAAACTATCCAAATCTGTTTCGATCGACGGCCCTAATACACTATCTGCTTGTGATATTCCATTGGAACGGCTGCCTCTACCACATCATACACAAGAACAATGGCTTCGGCTCACGCAACTGGGTCTACCACGACTCCGAATCGGCGGATGTGGTCAAACAGTATCTGCAGAGCTACTACTGGTGCACACTGGCATTGACCACCATCGGGGATCTGCCCAAGCCCCGCTCGAAGGGAGAGTACGTGTTTGTGATATTGCAATTGCTATTCGGCCTGATGCTATTCGCCACGGTCCTGGGACATGTGGCAAATATTGTGACATCAGTGAGTGCGGCGCGCAAGGAATTTCAGGGTGAGTGTTACGCAAATTATGTTATATTCAATTTTAAGATCTACAGAATGATATTAACAGAAAAAAGTGAGCTTTTATATTAATCGATTATTATTTGATGCAATACAAAACGATAATTATACGATAGACGATTAGTTGGGAAAGGGAAAGGTAGATAAAATGTATACAAAAATATAAAAGCTATAAAGCCTAACGTATAAACTAATACAAAAGTCTTTCAGGCTTTTAGACTAAACAAAATAACGAAGAAAAAAGTTATGAAAAGAAAATGTTATCAATCAAAATGAGATTAAACCCTAAAGTGGCGTATGTAAATATCATTATGACTATATCCAAGCGAAAATAGTAAAAACGATAAGCAAACATGCTGAATATATTAAAAAGGCAACCAAAGCGGGCTTAAAGAGGCAAACCCAAACAAAGGGCTAAGCACACACGCAGCGCAGCTTCCACTCCAAATGTTGCTTGAAACTAACTAAGCTTTAAATGAAAGACGGAAAATAAAAAATAATGTGAGCAACATGTTTTCGGGCCCGAAACGAAAGAAAAAATAATTGTGAAACTCTGGAGAGTTGCATAAATCACAGGACAGAATGTTGAAATGTAATCATTATCCGTTGCATGTTGTTGGTTTTGCTTGGTATCCTTATCAAGACAATTTTAAGCTGGAATTTATAAATTGTTGTTGTTTCTGCTCTGTGTTGTGGCTTCAATATTTACGAGCTGTCTGAAACTGTCTGAAACTGTTGCTCAGAGCTAGGTCTGTTACGCACACACACACAGAGTGAGAGAGAGAGAGAGAGGGAGAGAGAGAGAGCGAGAGAGATACAAATACATATACATATGGGAACAATAATCCGCAGCCAAGATGCGGACAGACATGCAAAAGGACAGACGAATAAACGAATAACAGTATGGGATACATGCGAATAAAATCTGGTTGATGGTGGGCGGGGGGAAGGAAGGGGAAAGGCGCTTGGATACATTTGACAAAGCAGAACAATGAGCAAAGCCCTCGAAAGTATGCAAAACTTTTTGGCTTTGCCATTTCAGCTGCTTAAATTGAAGAAAATTTGATGCGAATGTGTGCGTGCCTGCGTGTGTGTGTGTGTGTGTGTGTGTGTTTGCAAGCAACTGTATACAATATATATTATTATATATGTATGTATATGGAAATCCTGACTGGCTTACGTTTAGATGTTTGCTCCTTTTTTATTTATATTTGTTGTTGTTGTTGTTGTTGTTTTTGTTGCGGCAGACAAGACACAGTTGGTGCTCATGCAGCTTGAACAAGCTCCTTGAGCAGTAGACTCTTGTGAGCTCAGTAGGCCATGCGACCATTAGCTAAATGAACTCGTTTATTTGCCCCATAAATAACTGGGCAAAAATGCAAGTGTCGCCATTGCAACGGCGACCGACTCTACTGTCCTTCCGGCCGGTGTCCTGTCGTTTTAATTTCAAAAGAACGCCCAAGTCAAATGGTTGGCAAGCAATTCAAGAAAATGAACAAAACTGCCCGGGACGGCGGGGGGACGGGACGGGCAGACAGCGGCATGGACTTTCATTAGGCGAACGTCAGCTGAAAATATTAAGGCCACTCAACGAGCCAAACGAACCGGACAGGCATGGAGAGAGAGTGAGAGAGGGAGGGAGAGGGAGAGGCAGACAGAGTCCCTTTCAGCAGTGGACATTGGCCGACTGGGAAGTAAAAGCTGTAGCCATTGCTTAGGGCAAACAAAGCAATTCCTCTAGCTGCATTGATGGGCGTGGCCAGAGTGTTGTCACCTCCACACGCACACATACACATGCTGCCACATGCAGCTTTAACATGTTTACACAACACTTTTTCATATGTGAGCCTGGGCAGAACGGGCCGAGGCGGGGCAGGGCGGGCAAGCCAAAAAGTCAGCAAGCAAAGCTCAGCGGCTTAATGGACGAAACGTGCTGCTGCATTAATTTCTGGTTTTATGCACTCAAAATAACAATTTTTTTTTCTTTTGTTTTTTTTTTTTCATATTTGCATTGCAGCAAATCTCAATTTTTATTGCCACACAGAATGCACACAGAAAATTTGCGAATATACATATGTATGTGTGTATGTATGTATTATTTATCTGAGAGCAGGTAATCAAGAAATGTTTGCAAATACACGCGATTTTCAAAGTTGCCAGAGATATCGGCCATCAGCATCATGCTATCCGCTTCGCTAATCGGTTGACCCATGCTGGCCATAACGATGACTATATCGTGTGCCTTGAAATAGCCCTCCTTGCGACGATCGAATACCGCGAAGGCCTTGCGCAAATTCTCCTCGCTGAACATTGCGTTCAGCTTTGGCGCCAGCAATTTAATGAACGCATCGAATCCAATATGGCAACAATCATCCTCAACTGCCTCGGCCATGAGTTCGTGGAGCTCGCCTTCGGTGGGCGGATAACCTACGTCAAACATGATATGATACAGCTGACGAATATCTATTTTCCCAGTCCGGTTCACATCGTGCTTGTCGTAGATCAAACGCAACTCATTTGTGAGCTCCCTGGATGCGGACGAGCGGGACATTCAACTGATACCAAAAATAAAGAAAACCGAATAATAATAATAGGAAAGTATATAACAATTTCTCAACAACGAAAAACCAACTGACAATCAACTCAGAGTCGCAACTTGAGCTCGAGGGCTAATAAAACACTTAGGTGACCGTTGCGCTTCGCTGAGTTGGCAACTTTTCACGTAGTTTTTGCTTCCTGGGTTTTTTTTTTTTTTTTTTTTTTGGGTGGTGTATGCCACAGGCAGGCACAAGTTTGTGCCCCACTCCTTGCCCCTTGCCACAATAATAATACATCATATAACCATGAACATGCAACGAGAATCATCCATCAATTTGTCAATTCAGCAGCGCTTGCCGCTTCGAGTGCCTCCCGACCACAAGAAGCAAACAACGATGCTCAATGCTTCATGCCTAATGCCAGCTGCCCACAGCCTGATGCCCGCTGATGCGAATCGCTGAGCTGTGCGGCAAGCACCAAATAATAAAAAAAAAAAACATCCTCAAAAAGAAGCAAAAACATGACCAAAATCAAATGCAGCAATGTTTTTTTTTTTGGGTGACGTTCAAATGCTCTTCAAGTGCGGCCACGCTGCGTATGTGTAATGTATTTTGTTGAATATAACTCATGCGCAGCGTGAACCGCAATGCATCGAATTGTGTCAACAGCAAAGAGTTTAAAGAGTACAAAATAAAAAGCGATATGCCGAGAGCAATTGACGTATTGCTGCAAGTGCATTGTAATTTGAATGCTCAGCGCAGTTGAAAAAAAAAAAACTCTAAACGTTGTGCAACACTCAAAGTTTTTATTGAACTGAACAAAATAGCTGAACTTTAAATCTATGGCACAAAGACTAAATGAAATAAATATATATATATATATATATATATTCCCTCTTACATTTTCAATCCATATTCAATAATTGTAGAAAAGCTATCGATTGCATTTTCTAGTTGGCTCAATCTAAAATCATTAAAGTATAAAATGCCAAGTATAAATTATGCTTACGACTCACAACCCTAAAATACCCTTTGAATAAATTTTGCTAACTCCTAACCATAGTCATTCATTATGAAGAACTCTCTCTCTCTCTCTTTCTCTCTCACTCTCACTCTCTCTTCGCCTTCCAGCTTACGTTTCTCAACACTAAACTATTAAACTCAACACATAAATCTGTTGCCGATGACCTTTACGCACAGTTTAAAGTTGTTCTCAACTTCAGTAACTTTTCACTTTCTTCAATAAAACTTGAAATCCGGCTTTACATAATTTCTTTAGGTTGTCGTCGCATTCAGAATAGCACAATAATAACAACAACAACAAAAAGAAGCTGTCTAACTAGACTGTCATTAATCTTGAAGTTTGCTCAAGTGCTTACAATTCTTAAGATAATTTATATTCATTAAACTTTTACGCTCACTTTTCTGATTCAACTACACCTAATCCTTTTTTATAATGAGAATTTGCAGCATCTTCTTCTTCTTTCACGTCTGCTGCGTCTTCTCCGTTTGCTATAATTACGAACCCTGGAGCGTGACATTTTTGCGCTGATCTCTGATATCTCAACCTTTCGCTTGGCATTTAGAAACTTATTTAGCTCCTTGCTCATTTCACTTCTTTTTTTTATTTTCGTTGTTGTTGTATTTTTTGTCTCTTTTTTCTTGAGCTGCTTCCCCTTCTTTGCATTTCATCTTTCTCACTTGCAGGCAAATATCACAAATACCTCTAGTCATGGCTTAGGGCGCAACACTTTAGTGATGGCCTTCTGCTACATTAAGCAAACTCCCTCTGGCCAACAACTTAAAAACTTATATATTTACTTAGTAACACGCAGGCAGGCAGAGCGGGCGCCCTGCCAGCCAGCCAGCCATCCAGCCAGCTCCTGCTTCTCCTGCTTAGCTCAGTTGCGTTCTCATCCTGGTTTCATCAGGGCTTCTGCTTGTGCTCGCTCTTCTTGTGTTGCGCATGAAAATTGATTTTCAAATAGTTGGCCTGCCTTTTTTCAAATTTGATTGACGTTATTACATTACATAACATCACATCAACCGAACATACACACACACACACCCGCACACACACGTGCAGGGGACTTATACAAGCAGCTGGTTTAAGTTATTCATCCATTTAGCCCCACTTATGGAACGGCTGGCTGGCTGCCCCACTGCCTCACTGCCTCACTGCCTTCCTCTCTGACTGCCTGGCTGGCTGGCTTGCAACAACAAGTGGAAAACTGTCATTATATTTGAGTTATTGATGGTTTTTCAAAATCATTTTAGCAACAATGTTGTTTGCCTCACACACACACATACACACATACACACGCACGCACGCCTGCACACCCGCACACACCCTCACACCTACACAAGTTACATTCACGCTTAGTTAAACGCAGTGGCTGCGGCTTGTTAACGCTAAACAGGCGCAAACTTTAAATGCTGCCGCTGCTGCTGC